TTTTTTTGTACTGACATCTATTATTTTCACATTGACAAATGACATTTAAAAATTTAATATTTTATATTTTGAAAAGAATTATTTTATTTCTATTTATAACTTTAGCATTATTTTCTTCAAAATAGAGGATTTTTTAAAATTTTAATTGGTTAAGTAGTTTTATGTGTATATATACATATATTGTAGCATAGGAAAGGAATTCTGCTCAACAGTTACTCATCTTTAACATTTAATCTACTTTTTTTGAACGAAAAAAAAAAATCTATCTTGACTTATACGCACAAGAACTAGTCTGTATATATATAATATATATATGTACCAATTGATTGAATACAATCTGTTTATTTATCAAGATATTTTAAATTGTTAACATTATATTTTATTAAATAAATATTAATAGAAGAAACATTAGATAATGCATAAATATTCCGATGTCGATGTTATATGTTTGGATGATCAACAAATAAAAAGTTCAAAAGGAACAAAACATATTTTAGAAATAAAAAAAGAAGATCAACAAAGAAAATATTTTATAGTTATTAAAGATGGTAAGATTGTAGTTCTCTACAAAATGAAAGACATTTATATTTTGATTTAGGTACATCCATTATATTAACAATTACATTAGATGAATCATTTGAACATATTCGATCAGGTTCAAATGGAATTATTATTAGTTTACCAAAACAGAAACATCTTTCATATTCGTTAAAATTTCCGAATCAAGAAGGTAAATAACGAAAGGCTAAAAAACTGTACCAGAATCATGATTACTAACTTGAATAGAAGATGAATTTGTATTCGTTGAAGTATCTAAATATATTCTCTATTTTTTAATCAATTTATATAAAAATATTTGATTGAGTTCCTCTTCATTAATCAAGAAAAAAGAACTGTCAGAATAAATTACAGATGATTTTTAGAGAAAAAAATTCAATCATTAAATTGCTAAATGTTGATATTTTAATAATAGATGCAACCAGTTTCAAGAAACTTCTTGTATCGATAAAAGCCGGTCGTAGTATTGAAGATAATATATCAAGTCAATTCGATGAACGTACAGAAGAATCATCAGCAGTACAATATTTTCAAGTATATATTACGATAATTATCTATTGTTATGATATACATAGATTTTTATTTAGTTCTACGGTTATTTATCTCAACAACAAAATATGATGCAAGATTATATACGTACATCAACGTACCAACGAGCTATTCTTGATAATTCAATTGATTTTGCTGGCAAAGTTAGTTCTGTTTATAACAATACTGTATAAAAATTTAATTATTAATTTTTAGGTTGTACTTGATGTTGGTGCCGGTTCAGGTATACTTTCTTTTTTCGCTGCTCAAGCAGGTGCACGTAAAGTCTATGCTGTTGAAGCAAGTTCCATGGCACAACATGCTAAAGTAAAAAATATTCTTATCTATCTCTTATACTCATAAAAAATTTAATCCTACAGACTCTTGTTGATAATAATCATTTAAGTGATCATATTCAAGTAATTGCTGGTAAAATCGAAGACATCACATTACCAGAACAAGTTGATGTAATTATATCTGAACCAATGGGTTATATGTTATATAATGAACGTATGTTAGAAACATATTTACATGCAAAAAAATTTCTTAAACCAAATGGTAAAATGTATCCAACACAAGGTGATCTTTATGTAACACCATTTACTGATGAAGGTTTATATATGGAACAAGTTGGTAAAGCAAATTTTTGGTATCAACAATCATTTTATGGTGTTGATTTAACAACATTACGTGATTCAGCATTAGATGAATATTTTAAACAACCAATTGTTGATAATTTTGATGTACGAATTTGTTTATCAAGACCAATAAAATATACAGTGAATTTTTTAACGGCCAATGAAGAAGATTTACATGAAATAAATATTCCATTATCATTCCAAATGACAACAACAGCTGTTATACATGGTTTAGCATTTTGGTTTGATGTTTCATTTAATGGATCAAGGTATTCTTTTGTTTTCCTTTCAAAATAGATTTTATTAATGCAAAATATTTTCTTTATTATATAGCACACAAGTTTGGTTATCGACTGCACCTACACAACCTTTAACACATTGGTATCAAGTTCGATGTTTATTTATAAAACCACTTACAGTTAGTCAAGGAAAAATCGTTAAAGGTCATGCAATATTACATTCAAATAGAAAGTAAAATTGATGATTTCAATTTCCCTTAATCTCTTTTTCTTGTTTCTTCTATAGACAAAGTTATGATGTTGAAATTTTTCTTCAAATTGATGGAACAACAATATCTGCTGAGAATACACTTGATCTTAAAAATCCATATTTTAGGTTTGTTAATAATTAATTATATAATTGAGTTTTCATCTATGATTTTTTTTATTTAGATATCCAAATCAAGGAACACAAGTTCCACCTGGACAATATCATGAATCTCCAACTGAACAATATTGGAATGGAGTACCGAATGAACAGAATCCAATGGCTGCTGGAACAATTTATCCAAATTCAAATCAATTTTCACAAAATTGCAATATCAATAATAATATGAACGCTAATAGCGATTATGATGGTACTAAAATGGTTATGGGTGGGGCATGGTTATGAGGGATTCTTCCAAACGATTGATATCATTCGAGTTTTACTCTTTGTTTTTCAAATATATCATCCTAACACTGCTATTTTAAATAATATTCGATACTAAGAGAAGAAGAGAAATAGAATGAAATTATTTTATTAAAAATCAAACAAAATTATAATTTCTTTTTTCTTATTCTACGTTGTACAGGAAATTCATTGCACAATATGAATACAGCATTTCCAGCAGGAAATAATCATCGTTTTACTTCACCATGTGCATCATCATCAACATCATCATCATCGAATCATTTTGATAAAACAACAACATCGCCCTCAACAAATAGTGTAAGTATTGAAATTATTGATGAATATTTCGTTTAGAAAAAAATCTATTATTTATCTATCTATATATAGCAAATAACAAATAATGGATTTATTTCATTTGCTAATACAGCAAGTGGAAATCCTTTTATGCATCAACCTAATCCATAAATATAAAATGGCATTAAAGAAATGACTAAGCAAAAAAAAAGGCTTTTGAATTGATTGTGAAAAAAACAAACAAGTTCTCTGTATTCTTTTCTTATTGTTGTCATTTATTTGTTGTATCTCAGGAGAAAGTTTACGTATGTGTGTGTGCGTGTGTGTATTTTTTGTTGTTTCAAAAAGAAAAAACAAAGCCATGATGTAAAAAATCGTTCGGTTCTTAATGGTTTCCTTTTCTTTTCTCTCTTATAGATAAATAATGTCATCAATAATATCTATATCAAAATTTGAAGATTTAAGTGATGATATTTTAATGGATATATTTGATTTATTATGTCCACCAGTTTATATTTATCATTCATTTTTTAATTTAAATCAACGTTTAAATCGTATAATAAATGATTCACGTTTATTAATATCACTTGATTTAAGTCATTTAATAAATCCATTAAATTTTGCTTATCATTGTCAAATAATGTTACCTAATATGTCAAAACAATTAATATCATTACGTTTATCAAATGAACAAAATTTATATGAACAAATAAAAATATTTCTTTTACATTTACGTTTAGGAAATTTTCATGCTTTACGTCAATTATCTCTTATACAAATAACATTCGATCAATTAAGACGAATGCTTGCCGATATTTTATCATTAAATAAACTTGTTCGACTTCATATTGATATGTTTGATGGATCAGGTATTAGTTCGAATGAACTCAATCTTATAGCGAATACATTAATAAATAAATCAAATTCAATTAAAGTAAGAAAAATATAATATATATATTGATATTAATTATTCTATTTATTTTAGTTTTTGCATCTCCGTTTCAATCGTGAATTTGTTATATCTGAAATAGCTTCTTCTTCATTAACACATCTGACTCTTGATGCTTGTGCTTCATCTGATATACCACAATTATTATCTCTTTGTTCAAATTTAACTTCACTAACAATTAAAGTTGAACAATCTCGTCGTCGATATCCACTTTTTAATATAACGAATTGTGATCAACAACTTCCACGACATAATTTATCATCATTAATTTGTTCTTCTTTAACAAATTTTTCAATTGATATTAATGATTTAACATTATCTGATATAAAATATTTTCTTTCATCAATGCCATATTTAGATTATTTTCGTATTGAAGGTCTTACATATGATATAGATTTTTCCAAAGGTGATTTATGGGAAAAAATATTTGAAAATCAAACAAAAAAATTAAAACAATTTGATATGACGGGTTTACGTATATGGCTAGGTAATAATGCTGATGACGATGATGATAATTTAAATTTAATTAATCAAATAAATCATTCATTTGGTTCCAGTCATAAATATTGGGGAAAATATTGGTCTGTTTATCAAACACATAAACTTCGACCAAATCATGTTAATTTAACATTACATGCTAAAAATCTCTAATTCATACAGATAAATATTTATACATAGAAATCAAGAAAACAGTCAGATGATTTTTTTTTTATTTATTTATTAATGATTTTATATATTTTTTTTTGTTGTTATTTCATTTTGTTATTATATTTGTATTGGTTTTGTTATGCAAAGAAAAAGAAGAGAATATGAAAATTTTATTGAGATTTATTTCGACTTTTTCTTTTATTTTGAAGATGTTACAATCAGAAAATGTTTCATCATCTTCGTCTGGTTCATTGTGGCCAATTGATAGAAAAATAAATCGTTCAATAACTCCACGTGAAAATAATTCCATATCATCATCATCATCTCCTCAATTAATTTCTCCACTATGGGATTCAAAACCAATTGGTAAATCAATTTTTCTTCGTTTATGTCAACGCGAACAATTATCACCACAATTAATACTTGAAGATAAAGTATTTCGTTCAGCCATACGTTTACAACATGGTTCAACATATCGTTCTCAATTACAATTTGTTGGAACATTAATTACTGATGATGAAACACAACGTTTAACATATGTTATTGATCGAATACAATTAAATGATTCACCAAGAAATGATATGAATAATCATCATTCATTATTAACAAATAAACAATTACATGGAGAATTTCTTATACCAATTCGATGTGATAATAAAAATTCAACAACAATACATACAGATAGTAGTTTAATACAAGACGGAATGAAGACAATCGATACTTATTGTCATTCATCTTTACCAATTGAATTACATCAATTTTCATTTCTTCATGGACAAATGTTATCACGTTTATCTCCTTCGATAAATGCTGATTTATCATTTGATCTTTTAACTATAAAAAATAGTTTTAAATTAACACCAATTAATTCTGATTATGTTCAAATATTACCAACAGCTTTATTAAAAAATATAAGTTCATCAACAGGAAATGTTGTTTATATGAATCAACCACATTTTGGTTATTGTGGTTTAGATCGAATGTCAACAAATAAAATTTTATTAATACTTGAAAATGATCCACAAGCATGTGCATTACCATTAGTAGGAATGTAAGAATTTTTAATAATATAAGAGGAGAAGAAAAAAAAACATTTTCATTATTTATTTTAGTTGGGTATCAGGTATTGTTGATGTTCAATGTGCATATGTTTGGGCAGCATGTCTTCGTTATTGTATGAATTCATCACTTAAACAACGTCTTCGTACAGGTATAAATACGAATAATACAACACAACAATCATTTTTACTAGCATGTTATTCATCAACATCACGTGGTCAATGTGATTTTTATGAAGTTAGTTCAATGAATATAAATTCAACAACATCATCATTTATGATTGATTATGATTTATGGACATGTTCAAAAAAAATTATTATGCCAAATCCTCCAACATCACATTCACATGATACTAGTATTAGTACACAATTACCATATGATTTTGAATTTAAACATGTTTATGATGGACCAAAAATGCATGCTTTAATAGGAGCACATACAGGAAATATATCACCAGCAATTCAATATCAAACTATTCGATCAACAATAAATAGTCAACGTCCAACAGATATATCTTTTCTATCAGCAGAAATACCTTCAGATGATGATGATGATGATGATGACGATAACAGTCATCATCAAATTCAAAAAATTCATCAAGAACATCTTCATCAAACTACACTTTCATCACCAAACACAAATGGAAGTATATTTGGTGTTCCTCGTTTACCACCAAAACAATCAACACATCAATCACCTGCATGGGATTCAATTTCAACGACATCAATGACAACACCAAAATGGAGTGCACCTGTACCTACGATTATGCCAACATTAAATGCTCCATCACCACCACCTCTGCCGCCACCTCCAATAAGATTTTCATCGCCAGCTCCTTCAACGATTGCACCATCAAGTGTTACTACTGATACTCAATGGAAAGAAGAATTACTTGAAAAAATGCAAGCATATGATGCTCATATTCAATCATTAAATACTCTTATTGCTCAACTTTTAGCGGCTCAACAACAACAGCAACAGCGTTCAATTTCCACACCAGCAAGAGAATCTACAAGATGCGATGTTGCTGTTCAAAGTGAACCACCATCACCTTCTACAAGTGATGATGTTGGCGAATCAGCATCAATGGTTAAAAGTAATCGAAATAGTCCACCATCACCAACACCAAAAATTGAACAACTTCAACAATATCAACAACAAACACCCATTATGACAACAACTTCACGAGTGAGTTGATTTATACTATAGATATCTCATATCTGTTACTCTTTTCGTTTAGTTGCCATCTTCTTTAATGCAATTTCAATCACCACTTCCACTTCCACCACCACAACCACAACCAATTGTTCGTCAACCAGAATCAGTTATTAATTATGCAGCTCTTCGAAAATCAGCTGATTGTGAACGACCAATTATTGATAATACTCCTATTCCATATCATCGTACACCTAATCGAACAACATCACCTCCACCTTCATCAGCTCCTACAGATCTGAATCCAGTTGATATTTTGAAACCATTTTTTCAATTTATGGCCAGCCAACAGCAGAGACAACAGCAGCAGCAGCAACAACAACAACAACCACAGTATCAATTACAACAAGAATATCAAAGACCAACTTCGCCATTGGCGACAACATCGAAATCATTTGATACAACATTAATGAAAACAGTTGATGAAGAAAGTGGTCGTCAAGCAGAAAAAATGTCACATTTAGCTAATGTTATTCAACAACAACAGCAGCAGCAGCAACAACAACATGTTACATCAACAACTACAACAGGAATTAGTTTCATTTCCAACGGACTTCAAATGCAAATTATTAATCAACAGAGTAGTACAACTACTGTCTATCCACCAGTACCACCACTACCAGCATCTCTTCCAGCATCAGCAACACCTTTAAATGATCATATTTCTTCATCAAATCAACAATCGGAAACAGATCTATCTATTGAAGTTCGTAGTTTACAAATGAAATATCTTGATGATGATCAATTAGCGATTGCTAATGATTATGATAGACAACCATCAACACCATCGAGTATTATATCACAATCACCACAAGTATTTGATAAAAATATGTCATTTGCAACACAAAAATATTTTCAAAAATATAATATTCTATCGGGTGTTAATCATCAACAACAATGTTATTTATCATCAGATGAGAATGATTTTTATACTTCGTCATCATCTCCACCTCATCAACGAATGCTTTTACCATTACCTCAACCATCGTCACCACCAATTTTTACACAACCACCTACGCCACATGCTCCACAAGCAAAAATACTCGATTTGAGTCAAATACGTAAATTACCTAAATTACTTTAAAATATTTACATATATAGCCATAATAACTTAGTCCAACTGAATATTCCGTCCATAATATCGTTTTTTCTACTGGGGATATGTTATTTTCTTTTTCTTTAATATGTATTAGATTCATGTTTCTTTTATTTCTCAGAAAATAGTGAATGAAAAAAAGAAGTACAATTATTCTTTTCTGTGTTTTCTTTTCTGTTTATTAAAAATAATAAAAGAATGAGTTCATTTGATTTGCATTTATCTACGAAATTTTAAATAGACTATCTTAATTGTAATACCATTCGATAAGCATCGGGATTTTCTTTTGGTTGTTGACTATAATAATCAACTAAATATTCTTGTTTCTGAAAACCAACTTTTTCATATAAACCAATAGCTTTATAATTATCAACATGAACATGTAAATAAATAAATGCATATCCTGCCCGATATGCCCATTGAACAACTGATTTCAATAAATGTGTACCTACACCACCTTGTTGATTGGATTTTCGTACACCAAATAACATTACATAAAGACCTTTGCCTTTACGAGTATTATTAACTAATGCACAAGCAACGCAACGTTTTTGATATCGATCATATGCACAAAATATATGATGAACAGTCATAATCATTTCAATGAATTCATCGTACTGATAAAAAGAACCAAAAAGTGGATAAAGAACAGCAACAATATCTTTTAATGGAAATTGTCGATTATGATATACTTGAATATTCGAAGATTTTGCTTTGTTTACTATACTTTTCGACAATATTATATTCATCATCACAAAGCAAATTATTCTCTAACCAATAATGAAGGTTGGAAACAAATGTCATGTCTCTATATCAATGATACAGGTAAAACAGAAGAGAAGAATATGCTTGAGTGATTTTTGCTTTCTATTTTTTACAAACATATTTATATATATTGACATTGAAGAACTATTTTTCATAGACTCGTCTACAGAACGTTTAGTCATCAATTTAATGAAACCGATATCAGGTAAATGAATAATATCCTTTATCAATAATAAAAATAGGGTCTACTCATGCGAAATAAATACATAAATAATATCATATGAAAAATAAACCAATATCGATAAACAATCTATTTCTTTTTCTTGTTATTTATTTAGAAAAAATTTCAAAAACAAAAAAAAATGTTCACATTCATTATAGTCTTGTAGGAAGTATATGAAAATGTTTTTCTCAATAATATTCTGTAATTATTATTGATAACAGCCATTTTATTCAAAACATCAGAAGTAATATTTATATTGGTTGTTTAACAGGCTCTGGTGTTGCTGCACTAGTTGTTTGACGTGCACCAAATAACCAATAAGTGGCAAGAATTGATGATAGATATGTAAACGCAAATGCTGTTACTACCAAATTGTATGAATAAATTGAAATTATATTAATCGCTGATATAAATGATGAAAATGATGCAAGTAAAAATATTGACGTAATAATCATTAATGAGACAAATGCTAATGGTAAATATTCATGTTGATAAAGATTTAATAAAATAACTGCTCCCACAATAACACAAGCGATAAGTAAAATAAGTGAAAAGATACATAAAGATCCTGTTGATGAATGTGGTAACTTAAAAACACCATACCCTCCCCATCCTGATGTGGCTAAACCAATAAGACAGAAAAGTGTAGCTACACCTAATATACCTAGAATGGCAGTGAGTATTGTACGTTCATTTATAGCTGGTAGATTGACCATAGTAGCTTTGTAATTTGAAAAAATGACTCCACTTTTTAGATAGATGTTGTTATATACGTATTATATTTTCTTATCTTTTACCATGTTAAGTTTTTCTTATCTCAGATACTAACAAACATGACACAAGTGTTTTCAAAGTTGGTTAATATTACGTTATATATGTTTAAAATCTTTCTAATGCGTTAATTAATGAAGCGAATTTTAAAAAAAGACAAAATAAATAAATAAATTGGAAAAAGTGTTTTTAAGATTACAATGTAATAAAATTTCATAGTTGAAATGTGACATCGTTTTATCATTAGAATAATATTTACTCCTTAACTCTTAACCACGTAGTGAGTCATTTTTGACCCATTTCTAGAAAGTATATTTTTTTGCATTAATAAAATAATAGGTCAAAACAGTTTTTAAATTTAAATTTTTTTTCATCTTTTTTTCATTAAGATATCTGATTTGCAAAAAGGATAATTTAAAGAAACTTATTCACTCAAAACATGATAACATCGTTCTTTGATACGACATGAGTCAAAAATAAACTATTAGTAAAGGATGACATAAACAAATTTTTTCTACAGTACGTTTTATCAATACAACAATGCAAACCTGTCGCATTTGTTATAATCTTCCTCATAGATCATATTAAAGATATAGTGGAAGGGTTAAAATAATTCAGATTATTACTGCTATTACAAAATCGAATAACATTTCATGTCAATAGGTGACATCTATTAATCGATGTATTTCTTGTAAATATTGCACTCCAATCAATAGTTACATGCACAAACACAGACATATAGCCTAGTTTATTCGTGTACAATATAAATCCTATTTATTTATCTGTAGATTTACATTAAAAAAGATGCCTGTTTCACGTAACTATTGGTATCGTATATGGGGACCACATAGACATGTATGTTTATATTAATCATTTATTGTTATATCATTTATAATGTCTTATATTTTAGCCATTTGCTTTAAAAGAAGTTGGTCTTTATTCCCGTCGCATCGATCAACGTTTACGTACACAATTAGTAATGGAACAACATGGGCCAGGTAAAAGTCATGCTCCATCACAATATGATATTTTACGAGAACCAAAATATCAAACACGTTGGATTAAAACTTGGAATGCTGATAGTCCTATAGATACTCAACGTATTTTTAATGAAGTACGTCAAAAATATAAATTTGAAAACCCATATGATGAAATATCGAAATAGTTATTATTAAAGTTTTCTGTATGTATTACTGATAAATAAAAGATTTAGTTTATGTTTTGATTTATATCTTGTTCAATGATTTGTTGAATACCATTCCACATACTACGAATAATATGAAATTCAGTTCGTCCTAATCGTATAATATTTGATAAATTAAAAATATTTTTTTCATTTGTATTTTCTAAATGAATATCATATTTTTTACTAAATTCAATCAATTCATCAAGTTTTTCTGTATGGTTTAATTTTATATGAACATTAACTTGTAATGCTGTTCCAATATTTAATGGAGAAAAATTTAAATAACCTAAACGTTGATGTTGTTGAAATTCAAATGCTTGATGTAGTTGAGTTATAGCACGTATTAGACGTTCATAAGTCTCATTCATTTTACTATCATTTGATTGAGCAATAAAACTTAGATGATCTTCTTCATTAACCCAAATTATAAAATTTTCATCTTTATTGATAGAAAATCCACGACCTAATAATATACTTTCAAACTGTAAAAATTCTTAAGAAAAATTAACGGTAACTTACCATTTGGCCAATGATTATATACTCCTGCACTTTCTAAATAACGATCTATTGGTTCCTATAAATAGATAAATCAGTATATTAGTTATTCAAGATAATTCAAACTTGAAAAAGAATAGATCTTTCTCGTAGTTTAATTTGATCCATTTCATTAAGATCTTTAAGTGAATGATAATCACCCTGCAAATCTTCATCTAAATGTTCAAGTGTAGTTCTTACACGTTCTTCAATTTCTAATAACTGATCAACAGTTAATTTAGGTATCATTGGATAATGTTGAATAGAGCGATCAATACGAATACGTATCGATAAAATTTGTTGATTTATTTCTGATGATAAATCTTGTATATCATGATAATCACCAAAATCATGTTTGAATATTAAATTTCGAATATCAATTTTATGATAATCCATAATAACTGGCCAAAATAGACAACGAAATAATTCGTAACAGTCTCCATCAATTGCGTATAGACCACAGATTGCATCAGGATTTTCTAATCCTGATTGAATACAATCATAAATTGTTGAATTGAATTGCGTTTTTTTACGCAATAAACACCATATTTCACATGGTTGTAACCAGAGAAAATATTTTTGTACTAAAGATTTCTTCTTTATTAGTTGATTAATTGATTTTTCATGTTCAATATTTATCATTGAAATTTGAATCGAACGAAAAAAAAGTAAACTATTCCTTAGTAACACTATTTTCTTTTCTTTTTATAAGATACTTTTTAGATATTTAGATTAATGTATTTATAAAATATTATCTCATTAAAGATATTTTATTTGTAATAATGCATCATCAACGACTTCTAATTGAATTAATACAATATAAAAAATTAATTTCATATGCTTATGGTCAATCACTTCAATCTCATTATATTCAACGTTTAGCAATGGGAAATGGTAATCCTGTTTTATTACTTTTTGAATTTCAACCTGTTTATACATGTGGTCTTCGTCGTTCCTCATCAATTGTTACTTCAGCTGATATTGAACGACTTCGTTCACTTGGTGCACATTTTCATGAAACTGATCGTGGTGGTCTTTTAACATTTCATGGACCAGGTCAATTTGTTGCTTATCCTATTCTTCCACTTCAACATCCACTGCTTCGATTAACACTTCGAACTTATATTAATCGTCTTGAACAAACATTAGTTGATACTTGTGGAGAAATTGTTGGTCAAACAAGAGTTTATTCAGGAATTAAAAATGGACAAACAGTAAATTATGCTGGAGCATGGATAGATAATCAACGAAAAGTTGCTTTTATGGGTATACGTTATTCACGTGGTATAACATCTCATGGTATATCAATTAATTGTTCAGTTAATATGAATTGGTTTGATCATATTATACCATGTGGATTTGATCGACGACAAATAACATCATTAACTGATGAAGTATCTTCTAAACAAACAATAACTGTAAAACAAATAACACCCATATTTTTAAATCATTTCCAACGAACATTTAATGTTGATTTAAATGAGAATGACAAACAAGAAAATCTTAATATGGATCTGTTATAATAGATATTATTGTATTTTTTTATAAATTGTATATATATTCTAGAAAAATACTTGGATATTGACAGTGCTTAGTTAATAAAAGATAAAATTACTATATGAATCATCATTTTGTTGAGTATGGGTGTGTAAGTCATTCTTCTCTCATACTACACACCCACACCCTGTCGTCACATATCAACTACGTAGTTTAGAATCTTTGCTTTCTTCTTGACCTAATAAAAAACATACGTCTTTCGAATTTTGACAGAGAATTGAGTATAGTGATCTAATGTTCACGAAGAAATATTCGCAAGTCTAACATGCGTATTATACAGATATAGGCAGGGGTCAAGCGGTCATACTTAAGAGAAAAATGCTAAATGAAAAGTTCACGATATATAGACGATATAACATAAAACAGATGAAGCATAACGATCAATGACCGACCGTTGCATGCTTATATTGATTGGCTTGGCTCATTATACTTGATTTGCATGATGTTTGTGCATATGACCTCTGACCGTTAAAAGAAGTAAGAAAATGGTGGATAGAGTACCTCCTGAAGTGCTCGAACAACTCTTTCTTGAGATCGATAATCCATTAGATGTATTCAATTCACGTGCTGTATGTAAACAATGGCATGCTGTAATAACAAATGAACGTTTTCTCAATATCTATTTTAAAAATCGTTTTGGCATTATATCAAGACAAGAACTCGAATGGTTCAAATATTGTAGAAGGTAAGCTGACTGATCAATAATTAGAATAGAATCGTGTATGTCCGTACGCTTTTTTCGTCGGACTGAAGGAGATGTTCGTAATAAACATGATATTATTTTTGAGGATATTAGCCATATTGGATACATGTTTGCTTTTTAAATTAGATTGTTTAGATATAACAATATTTTTGATAGCAAATACTTGTATATTTTACAATTTAATTTAGTTCTTATTCGTATTCAACAGTTCCAGATTGTAATCGTCATTATAAAGTTCCTACACGCTTACAAGGAACTGGTAGTGTTGTATTCGACAATATGTATCGTTCTAATAGAGCTCCTTTTCCTCGATTTCCAGTTCCTTTACACAATCATGATTATTCAATTAGCATGTGGCTTCAACTTTCATCACGCTTCGAAGAATTGTCATTTTAAATAAGATTGAATGATTTTTCACTCGAATTTTGTCTTAATGAAAAATCGATACGAGTTCAATGTTCGCATATGGGTGGTCTTGAAGCCAAAACACATATCAAAGTACTTTTTGATCGTTGGTTTCATATTACACTAATATACTCGTCAGTATTTATATTCTACATCAATGGATATGCTTATCCATTAATTTGCAATGCAGGACCGCTTTCTGAACAAGAGATGATTAAACGTTCAATAGATATCAATAATAATAAATATCTGTTTTTGTCTCACTCAGGTTATCCCAAGTTTGGAACAATAACTAAATTTGCTGATATTCAAGTTTTACCATGTGCTTTAACTCGATGCGAAATTAAAGCTATCATTGAACGAAAGACTTGTATCGGGCAACTGGATATGACCCGGTATTTACTCGAACATTGGACTAGTATGCAGTGGTATTCAAAATATTTACCTCGCTGCATTCTTTTGTAAAAAGTGACTACTTCCTTTTCATGTTCATTGTCATTATTCATGTTTTCTTTTTTTTATTTTTTCTGTATTCATTTATTTTATCTTCGAATCTGCATAAATCCATGTGCTCAAGTGAGAATATATTTATAATGTGTTTTATTTTCAGAACACTTTTTAATAAACATCTGTTTGTCAACAGAATCTTCTAAAACTTCCAGAGAATTTTATTTGCATACACATATCATAAGTGTGAGAGAATGTGTATATGAAGATATTAGCTCACTTCGATCAGCTGTTTATTTTTCGAAAATTGAAAAAAAAATCATTGTTCAGTTTGAGGGTGTGGGTGTGGATTTGGGTGGTTGCGGGTGTATAATCTATCTCTCAACGACAGTCACACCTACACTCACATCCTCAAGATTGACAGAATATTCAAGATAATCGGATGAAAATGACAAAAAATTGGTGAAAATACTACAGTGACTCTGGTTTTTTTGAAATAGTTGAATTAACAGAATGAAGATGTTAGGAGAATAACGAACACTATTGTGATAATTTTGATTTCGTGAGAAAATCAAGATCATTAAATGAAAATCATACAAATAGAACTGAACTAATGTAATGATTTTCATTTTCGTGAAATAGTCTAAGCCCTATCATTGTTTCGGAGAAAACTAGTCGGAATAACCATTTAAATTAAATTTTCTTGATTTGTTTATTCCGTTAGTATGTTTGAAAATTTCTCCACAATGATTTGTAGTCAGACATGTATTCAGATATAATTAGAATAAAAAAGTTTAGCTTGATTCTATCTCAGACCTACATTCACTTTTTTTTCAGTCGGCAAATTTGTCATTGTTCTTCTCTATATTTTTCTTTTCATCCTTTTTCAATTCATTCAAATAAACTCTTTTCTCGTTCATAGAAACAATAATTCATTATATTGGTAAAATAAACTTTTTCTCTTTTTCTGTTCTTTTATGTTTCTGTTGAGTATTTTTCTTACCTAACACAACGAAACTGTACGATTCAGACATAATCATGTACCCGTGAAGGTGTTTTCTACAATAAATATCTTTTCAATATATATTGTTTACCTTATCGATGAGTATTATTGCTCATATTATGTTCTCAACAAGAACATAGTTTGAATAGAGACATATTTTCGTTTTCATCAATTTTCTTTTACTTTCAAAAAAAATACAGAAAGAAATTATAATTTCTTTTTAATGTTTTCGACTTTTTCTCTATACAATTTAAGATTAGGATGATTTTTTGGTAATGATTGTTGCCCAATGTGTGCAGCACGTTCATAAAATAATTGAGCTTTTGAATAGTTGCCCATATTCTCATACACCTGACCGATATTGCTATAGGAAGCACCCAAATTAGGATGATTCGAAGGAAGTGATTGTTGTCGAATTACAAGGGCTTTTTCATGAGATGAAAGCGATTTTGGGTAATCACCCATGTTGTAATACATCAAACCGATGCCCATGTAAGAAGAAGCTAAATCAGGATGATTAGAAGGAAGTGATTCTTGTCGAATTGCAATGGCTTTTTCAAAATTAGAAAGTGCTTTTAGATAATCACCCATGCTATTATACACCACACCGATGCTGTTATAGGTATGAGCCAAGTCAGGATGATTGGCAGAAAGTGATTGTTGTCCAATTGCAAGATCTTTCTCATAATAAGAAAGTGCTTTTTGATAATCACCCATGTTCTTATATACATTACCGATATTGTTACAGGAAACACCCAAATCCAAATGATTAGAAGGGAGTGATTGTTGTCGAATTCCAAGGGCTTTTTCATGAGATGAAAGTGCTTTTGAATAATCACCCATGCCGGTATATACAATACCGATATTGTTATAGGAGTCACCTAAACTAGGATGATTGGAAGGAAGTGATTGTTGTCGAATTCTAAGGGCTTTTTCATGAGATGAAAGTGCTTTTGGATAATCACCCATGCTATTATACAACAAACCGATGTTGTTATATGAAGCACCCAAATCAGGATGATTGGCAGAAAGTGATTGTTCCCGAATTATAAGACCTTTTCCATAATAAGAAAGTGCTTGTGGATAATCACCCATGCTGTAATATACAGCACCGATTCTGTTATAAGAGTCTCCGATATCAGGATGATTGGAAGGAAGTAATTGTTGTCGAATTGTAAGCGCTTTTTCATGAGACGAAAGTGCTTCCTGATATTCTCCTTGACTATGTTTGATCCAACCTAGTTGATAGTAAATCGGTGACTGGTCACTCTCATTTGTTGTTTGCTGAAGTAAAACTTCATACACTTCTCGAGCCTTATTAAACTGACTCATTGTAATTAGCAATAATCCCAATCTGTACCATCCTTCCTCATCTGGAAAGGTCTCCTGCCGTATACGATTAGTAAGAGTACGAAGATCTTGATCGTTGTCATTGGTCAATGTTAAATTCACTTGATAGATATGATTATTTCCATCCATTGGTTGAATATCTCCAATACGAAAAACCGTATGCATAGAGAAGAGAACTTCATCTTCTGTATGAAAATGGCTAACATCTGCAACAGAAGCAAATGGAGTTGTTGAATGTTAGCGTCTGAGTGATTCACTCGACGCTAATCTAGAGATTAAGTT